TCTGCCAGGTCATGCAAACACACTCCCAAACACACACATACACAACCTGTCACGCTGTCTTTAAATGATTAAAAAAAAAGTTATGGCAGGCAGAATGTCTGTGTTTGTGTGTGTGTGTGTGTGTGTGTGTGTGTGTGTGTGTGTGTGTGTGTGTGTGTGTGTTGCGCTCATTTGTAACTCAGCCTCATTCCTCAGATTCTTTCTCCAGAAAACAACGACAGAGAGTAATCAGGGAGAGCTGGTTAAGTAAAGGTTTTGAACCCAAACACAGTTGTAGCAGCACTTCCTGCAGTTTGTAACCAAACAAGCTGCAGTGGAGACAAGGCCTTTCCGGGCTATCTGTAATGCCTCATTTGCCTCATTGTACACAGAAACTGTCTCATAGTAAAAACCACACAAAGAAATGATTTACATGCAGCACAACAGTTAGAGTAAAATCTAGATTTATATACTTATCCATGTGTATTTCACCACTGACATCAAATCTTTTTTTTTTTTGAGGTAGACCTAGTGAACACACATAGAAACTCAAAACAATGTCACAAATTTGATGTCAAAAATCAAGAAAAACTAAATGATATGCAATTAATCCTACTCATGGCCTCTCATTCAGACATGACAAATGCAGTGAAGATGTGAGAGAGATTTTAGTGTATTTTTGTATTTTCACTTGAGCCATAAATACTTTATTTGTTTTTATATGATAAGTGTAATCATGAATTTTGTGCAGGGTGTGGAGAGTGGCCTGGTCCCCGAAGAATCTGTTAACGGACCGTCTTTCCTTTTAAACATGGCTAAAACTTAGACATGTTGACTGATTGCTTCCAGTCTCTGTGTGATTTAAGATGACTTTAAAGCATCAAAAGGACTGCAGCACAATTTTGTTTTGAATTCAGATGCTGCATGGATGCAGATATAATGCACTGAAATGTGTCATTCTAAGTGTTTCTATTTTCTGAATTTACTTAGATTTTGTTGCTCCACTCTCCATAGTTGTGACAAAGTGACCATGTGACCTGTGCTTGTATCTACCTGTCGTACAAAGGTGCATTTGTGAGGGCGGACGGGCTGTAAGAATAGAAGCTGCAGAACCAGTCTGACCGTTTCCTGCCTCCGTCAGGCAGCCGGCCGCCTCCGAGAGTTTCATGAGTTGCACATTTCAGGTCACCCTTCAGATAAGTGAAGTAGGAAAAGTTCCAGCAATAAAGCTAACGTGGGAAAAGAATGCCTCAGATACTGAGTCATGTACTTATCATGGATTGCATTAAAGCAAACAAAAAAGTAAAAGTTATGTAACACAGTGTTTGTTTCTCTCTGGGGATGTTACTCAGAATTATTAGCAAGAAAATAGAGGACAGAAACGGCATAAAATACCAAAGAAATTAGTAATGACATGTCCCAGCATGCAGTGTTATCTGTTTTTCATTTCCTGTTTGTCTAAAGTTGGAGTGACGTTTTAAACAGTTTAGCTTTTGTATCACACGTAGTCGATGTATAGGGATTTTAAACCTCAGCAGGCCTTAATAATAGATAAAATGCTACTGTGCGTCTCTTAGCTACATTTTTTTCATGTATAAAACTCTTATCATTACCAATATCTGAACAATAACACAACTTAAAAAGATAAGACTGTTTCCAGCTCCCTCTGTTAGCGCTAAAGGCCAACAAACTGATTCTAAGACTTAAAAATCTAAAGGGTACAAGGATTTTGATGCAAGTCAGCGCAGTTAGATTATTTTTTGAACCAAACAATCAAGATGTGATTGAAGTGCAAACCTTTATTTCTAAGGGTTCAACACAGGTATTAACTGACAGAGGATCAAAATTAGTGTGGAACCCATGCATGTCATGAAATGCTGTGTTTCCTCACTTCAGATGCTCTGCCAGGCCTTTATTGTGGCCACCTTCCGTTGCTGCTTGTTTGTGTCTCTCTGTAGTTTTGCATATAATAACTGAAAACTGCTCTGTTAGACTGAGATCAGGCGACTGGCTTGTTCCTTGTCTGTGCATTGAGAATCTCTAGAGTTGCTTTTGCAGTTTGTGTGTTTGTTAGCAGTCTAGCCTGCACAGTTTTCATGATATGATTTTCCAATTTTGTGTGATGGTAGATACCAATAACAGCTCAAAAACTGGGTCATGGTCACATCAAATATGTCAATAAATCAGTAAAAACTCAACATGAGTACTTTGGTTGGCTTGACACTGACTTTCATTGTTAGCGCCCAAGGTCAAAGATGACCATAAAAAACAATTTCACTAGCCGGGCCCACATCCTCATTTTAGGTTTGACAGCGTTTTAGTAGGTAAAGGTGAATGCTTGGACATGAATTGAGCTGTGGTTTGGGGAAGGCCTCGAAGGGGACTGGCGACGGCTCCCGGGCCTGACAGATCCTCATGTACTAAATAGGAGTGAAGAAGTTAAAGAATTGAGAACAAGGAGGGAGGGAGGGCGGGGCACATAAACGAGAATGAACAGTTTGCGGAACTGGGGGAACTTATATAGATGACAACAATGAGCGCGTTTGGAGGCGTGGTCCCGCTCCTGAAATTCCGATACATAATCTCCAATTCAGTTATAGCACTTGCCTTTCGGGTGTACCTATGCTCTTGTTTGCACTGTGAAGCTCTATGTGGAGAGTTTTGCAGAGTCTTAGTATTAATTCATCCTGCTGCTTCATCAGTAAAACCAGTGACCTGGGTCCACTGGCATAACGCTCCCTCCACCATGTTTGACAGATGATGTGGTGTACTTCAGATCATAATCGTGTTTTTCTCCTTTTCCAAACTTTTCAAGTTAATCTTGGTTTCATCAATATAATAAAATAAAAATATATATTTTCCAGATCCATTATGACTCGTTTAGATTTTTAGATCTGATTGTCCTGTTCTTGAGTGTAACCAGTGGTTTGCACCTTCTGGTAAACCTTGTGCATTTCCATACTAACCAGGCTAGCTAGCTGATAACTCCACCCCCTCCAAATATGGCCACTTCTGTATTGTGGCTAAAAGGTTACATTTGTGGTGGCTATGTCCATCTTGGAAACAACTCAGAGAGCTGCAATTCAGATATGTTAGAGATGTGTGTTGGTGTACATAAAATGTAGGGAAGGATCGGCTGGAGCTGCATGGTTTGCATGTTCCAAAGGGCAAAATTACAGGACTATCTGTTCTCAGCAGTGCAGCCGGCTGAGTCTGCATATGTGTATGTTGTGTAAGTGGACAAATCATGCGGCGTTTCCTTTGACATGAGCGATGCAGGGAGAGATAACAGCAACATTTAACTTTCAGGTTGAGACAAGCCCGGCATGCAGACGGATGGACTGCGTGCAGAAAAGTGAGCTCAATTCATTGACTGCTTTAGTGTTAGTTTACACTGCTGCAGATTCTTCCTCTTTGTAGGTTGACAGCGTGTCTGCACAGGAGGGGCAGTGTGGGCAGCTGTGGCTTCACTTCACAGGTGCAAAGCTAAACTACTGTAGTTAAACACAAGAAATAGAGGTGGGCTTTGTTTTTGTAGACTCTCAGACATGCAGCTGCAGGAAAAGTGCATTTCTGTCCCAGCAGGTTCATTCTACAATAATGTGTCCCCTTAGGCCTAATTTTTGGAAACCATGTAAAGGTCCCCAAGCTGTAAAATGTACATATTTGCACTGTTAATTAACCAGATCAATGGTGGCCCTTCCAGGTTATCCATGTGAGAATCATATCACTAAACCCTATGTCATGCACTCACCAAACCCTGCAGCACAGATATCGAAGACTGTCTTTTCTTACAGGATTTCTTTGTGTTGCATCAGAGTTTGTACAGTTTGTCCAACCCTGTTTTCGCCCCTTTGCTTTGGCTTATATTTTAAGTTATTTATGACACCTATAGTGCTGTTCGACTGGAAAGCGTGAGGGCAAGAAATAAAAACAATATGCAGATAAACACCAAATCTGTTTCCAATCAGAGCAAGTGGAAACCCCCTCAGCAGAGTCTGACGTGCCACGTCCCGGGATGAGATCATCTGGGCCATCAGCTGCTCGGTCTCGAGGACGTTCTCTAGAAAAACAGCCAGAGAAAACAGTCCGTGTCGTCCTATTGATCCTGAAGATAATAACACTTCTAATATAAACACATTTGCTCTTTCACATGCTCAGCCTCCAGCATATTTCCCCAGCTGTTACAATACCCACAGTTCACTTTGTGCTAATGGGCCAATAAATCCGCTGCAGCCTTGTTTGTTTTCCCCTGCATGATGAAGGCTGGGGTTACATTATTCTGTCGGACAAACCGAATAATGCTGGAATGCTTTTCAATCAGAGTAAAGCATCACATCAGTTAAACCTCTGGGATATCGATTTGGAGGGTGGAATGGTTTTACATGTGGGGGCCACTGATGCTTTTTCCCTCCTCATCTTTTCTGGCTGTTTTTCACTCGTTTTGCATTCAGTGAGCATCAGTGTCGCTGCTGGTAGCACGAGGCGATACCTGGACTCTACAGAGGTTTCACAGGTAGTCCAGCTCCTCCAGGAAGGCACAGCAATACATGCCACTGCCACAGGTTTGCTGTGTTTCCCGCAGTCTCTAACACTTTGATTTTATCTGTAGATTTGATCCTCAGAACCATTCAAATGAAGGTCTCCAAAGATAAAATCATAAAGATGATAATATTTGAGCTGCTTTTTAATAGATGTGTGGTAAAGCGAGGACCCAAAAACAGGGCTGGCTGATACATGGGCCATAAACAAAGTCCAAGCAGGTGAAGTGAAGCACAACTATGTGTATATTAAGAAGTCCGATTAAAGCCTTAATTCTCTGCAGTTTGGCTTGTGGGGGGGGGGGGGATTGAGGTAAAGGTGCAAACATTTATAGTATAAATTCCAGGATTTACTCTTTACACCTGTTTACACTGTAAACTGTGTGACAGTCTAACTACAGCAGGTACATTTGTGTGTGTGTTTGCAGGGAGGAGGTGCAGCAGAACTCCGTCCGATGGAGGAAGAAGTTCTCCTTTGTGTGCAAGATGAGCGCCAATCCGATCAGTGGAGTGTTGGACCCCTGCATCTGCAGAGTGTCTGTACGCAAGGTAAACTACAACTCCCATGCTCTTCTGGGACATAGAGTGCCTGATTACCTCAACACAAGGCCAAACAATTTTTTTAGATTATTGCCAAAAATTAGCTCTGTGGGAACATTTAGCTGACGTTAAATTTTTAAATGAACTGCTTCATCAAGCTTTTCAGGCGAGCAATATCCTCCTTAATTCAAAGGTGACGCCTGCACCTTTCCCACTTTCAGCTCCATACTGGAACCATGTGACGCGTTGTGAGTGGTCAGCAGGGTGAATCACCAGTGTTTCTGTGTTTCTGTGTCTCTACAGGAGCTCAAAGGAGGAAAGGCCTTCTCAAAGGTGAGTTTATAACCTGTTTATGTCCTAAAACTGTTGGATGAACTGTTGGACTCATAAACGTTATAGTGCACAGATTTACAGCATTGCATTAAACACAGTAAAGTCTTCATCTCACAGAGACATGTGACGGGACAGTCATAGGGTGATGACTATAAGCAGTAGCCAGTAAAACACTGTGTTTACTGTCTGCTCATGTAGGTTACAGTCAGCTGTTTGAGCTACAGTAGCTGCGATGAATGACGGGAATATTGTCACCTCACTGCAGAGCCATTTTATATCCGCATGTTGACTGCAGAGCTCCCTCTATGCTGAGTAATATGTGTGTTTATCTGTTTGGGGTCCTTTACTCCCTCTTTACATGGTTTAATGTTTCCCTGGGGTTGTTTTATGGCTCTTCGCCATTATTTCTTGCCTTTATTTGATTCTTTCGTGCAGTTTTGGTTTTGATTCAGTTACACTTTGAAGTGTTTTGACAGCTTTGAGGTTATTTGGTGTTGTTTTGGATGGTTTTCTGTCTCCTTGAGGTGGTTTTATGCACATTTGAGGTTTTCTTGTACTTCTTTTGGGTTGTTTGGTGTCTCTTTGGGGTCATTGTTTGCCTCTTTGGTGGTTTAATGGTCTATTTGGGGTAGTTTGTGTGTCTATGTTTTGTGCCTCCTTAAGGTTCCTTTGTGTACCTTTGGGTTCATTTAGTGGCTCTGAAAGGTTTAGTGTTTCCTTTGGGTTGTTTTATGCCTCTTTCGTTTTTGTTATGTACTTTTAAGTCTTTTAATTACTTTTTGGATGTTGTTGTGCATCTTTAGGGTTGTTTTGTGCATCTCTGTAGCTTCATGCACCTCTTAAATGACAAGCATTGGTTTTTATTTGATTACTGTTGTTTTGCATCCAGTTTTTTTGCACCTCATAGTTGTTTTACATATTTTTGTTTTGCTCTTCTTTGTAATTATTCAGTTCCTCCTTTACTGATTGAAACCTCTTTGTAGTTTTGGGCTTTTGTGCCTCTTTTTGTTTGTTTCCTGTGACAAACTGTGGGAAAGACAGACCAATCAGATAAAAGCATGCTTGTAGGCTGAGTGAAGGAACAACTATTTATTTGGTCTGGGACAAATATTGATGATATTTTCAGATTCAGTCCAAGCAGAAATTAGAATGTGCAGCAGCACTTTTGCTGTTTGTGTAAACTCACACACATGCAATCCACCACGAGCTGTGGCCCATCCAGTAGGAAGTAGAGCTGAGTGGGCAGAAAACAGTGAGTGAGGAGGTTAAAGGAGGTCATTGACTTGCACATTAAGTCACTCTCTCCTATTTTCCTTCATTGACTTCCTTACATGAGGGCATGGATTGTCAGCGGTAGACAAAAACAAATATTTTTAACCAAGTGGTAGAAGAAGAAGAAGTCCTGCTGCTTCAGATCTGTGAGGGGAACAAATTAAAAGCCCATGAGCCACACCTGATGGAGACCGTGGTCGTTACAACATGGCCTTTTCATTTTCTGTTGCTTTCTGACGTCTGTCTGTCTGTCTCCAGCTGGGTTTTGCTGATCTCAACATTTCCGAGTTTGCTGGTTCAGGCTCGACTGTCCGCTGCTGCATCCTGGAGGGCTATGACACCAAAAACACTCGGCAAGACAACTCTATTCTCAAGGCAGGAAAACACACACACACACACACACTGACCTGATTAGTGCTCAGGTCTAGTAACACATCTGTTTTGTTTTTTTTTATAGGTAACAATTGGGATGACCCTTCTGTCGGGGGATCCCTGCTTTAAAACGTGAGCTCCTTCAATTTGTCTGAGCAACACATGTAACAATTAAAGCTTTCTTTGTAACACATAAATTATATTTCCAGGCCTCCCAGTACGGCCAAATCCATTTCCATCGGGGATGAGGACCCCAACCTGCAGCTGGACTGTAAGGGGGAGAGCACTGACGCCACTTTGCAGCCACCGGGGGGCATCGTGGAGGGACCTCGGTCCTTCAAACCCCGACAGTCATCAGTGCGCAGCTCAGGTAAGTCGTTGGTGTAGATGTACCTTGATTAATGTAGCGTATTTTTAGGGATCCTAAGGATGTTTTCACGGTTCGAGGTGTTAATGCCGGAGCTATGTTTGTGTGTGCAGGGCTGCCCGAGGAGGGAGGGAGTGTCTCCAGTCCGGACGAAGTCTTTCAGATCGGTCATTTTCGCAGCTCCAGCTACGCCAGCCAGCACAGCAAGATATCAGGTCAGAGAGCTTTAACTTCCTCGTGCTGCAGGAAACGTGCAAAACATGAAGGAAATAAACACAAATAAACATCTGTTTCCATTCTATCCTTTCTATCTCATCCACCCTGTTCACTTTACTTATTTTTTTGTTCCTCTCCTCATCCCCTTCCTCTCATTTTTATTCCTTTCCGCTTCCCATTCCCTTCCTCTTTCTTCTCTTCCTATCAATCTTCCTTTCCTTTCCTTTCCACTTCCTTTCCTTTCCTTTCCTTTCCTTTCCTTTCCTTTCCTTTCCTTTCCTTTCCTTTCCTTTCCTTTCCTTTCCTCAGGTTACAGCACCGGTCACTCTCGCTGCTCCAGCCTGAACGATCTCAGCCACCACAGGAACACCTCCTCCAGCAGCGGCACCTCCTGCGGGCTCGGCCACCCCTCTCAGCCGCTTCCCTCCACCCCCACTGAGCCGCACCGCCAAGCGACCCCCACCAAGCCAGAGAGACCTCCTCCTCCCTCTGCTGTGGCCATCTTGTCCAACAGATCCTCCAGGTAGATAGACTCACACACAGCTGCACCTCAGAGGAAACCCACCTGCCGCTGCATGTTCTCAGCCTCGCTGATGTCATGGCGAGGCATGTCAGGACTCCGTGGCGTCGATAAAAGGCCGGAGATGGTTCTCAGGCATGTGTGAACCTACATGCCTGAGATTCTCTGGAAGAGTGTGAAGCATTTGGCTGGAATTCACACACGCCGATACATCTGCTACTCGGAGACCTGCAGTTTTCAGCTTCATCTTGCTTGCACACATTTGCAAATATCAGTTAAAAGGTTAACAAGGAACCAACCAACTCCTAGCGCCAAACCCTTTCCCCTCCCCACTGATTAAAAATATTAATATGTTGATTTTATTTTTTTATTAGTAAGATATCAGTAGATGATTCATGAAGGTGAAACGACAGGTGGGGCAGGTGTCACTACAGAAGAATTACAACCCACAGAGCTCCAGAATGAATTTGTCAGCGCTTCACTGTGAAGCTGTGTTTGTGTTTCAGACGTGACTTTTTCTCTGGTTTGTGTTCGGTCCAACAAACAGGAGGAAGAAGGAACCCGTGGAGAAGCAGCCCAGCTGTGTGGACGACACCCGCATCGATGCAGACGCTATCGTGGACACGATCGTAAAGAGCCAGGACTTTGACAGCAGCAACAACGAAGGTCGGCCAGAGTCCCGATTATCTGGACTTAGTTTCAGCCACAGGACAAATATCAAAGGCAGTATCAGCTTCTGGCTCTGGAACGTGTCAAACTTGCATTAAATCCTCCTGTTGGCCACCAGAGGGCGGCTCCTGCAGCAGCATAAAGATGTCAGATAGCACAGAACTCATCACTTTCCTGATGAAGTCCTGATGAGAATCAGGTTGAACTGGCTTCAATATGATGCTCATTTTATAATTTGATGTCCTCATGAACGTCCAGGAGGACAATTAATCTGTCTGCTGCAAAGCTCACAGGATGATTTTGGTTAAGAAGTGTCTGAGACTTTTACACTTTCCATTGTTACAGTGTACACCTGTAGTTGAGTCAGAGCAAAGTTGGGTTAACCTCTCATCGTACGAGAAACACCAAAGTTTGGAACTAGCTCAAGGCTTGCTCCTCCAAAGGGTTTGGAGGAGTTGGTTCACCTGCACAAGTGAGCCACACTAAGGGTGGAAAAGACCCAGAGTTTGATTTAAACTGACTAAACAGCGCAGGTGTGAAAACAGACTTTATCCTCTTATAAAGAAAGTTTAAATAATTCCAGTTTTGAACCCAGTTTAACATAAACGGATGTTTTTTTTAAAGACTAACGAGTGGCCAATCAGATTTAACTCAGAAATCAGTGTTGAGGGACCAGCAGCACGAGGACTGGTGGCGGTGATGGTATGTGTGGGCTCAGTTTCACTTCACAACAAATAAATTCTTTGTGTATTGTGGCCTCAGTCTTCTTGAGTACTCATTACTGGACGTTCCACACTCTAGGATATCGCCCCCTGGTGACTGTACACAGCTACGACATCTAGATACCCGTTCACATGAATCAAAACTTGTAAAAAAAAACGTAAAAAGTAGAAAAAAAGTAGAGTATTGTTTTGGAAAAAACCCTTTAACTTTAGCCTTTGTGTCATTGTGGGCAAAGGTGTGGAAATATTTGCTGATACGGGGATGAGTTTTACTGTATTATCGTTTTGGAACTTTTTAAGCCTTGTTTTATTAAAATGAAGTTTCCACCTTCATTTTAATAAAAACATGCAAACTAAACCCAACAGATTGAGTAAAACTAAACTGAAACAAGAAAACTCACTCTGGAAACCAGGTGTGACTAAAAGGAATTTAAAAACGCTCAAAATTTAAGTTATAACACGTCTGAACTCCACACAGACACGATGGTCCCTGTAGCAAAATAATGGGCTACTGTATGTCCATCTTTTATATGCAGTCTGTGGTTTTGGGACAACATGTGAGCGTCACCGCAGTAACATCTCCTCTGGGCTCATTTTTTTCAGACAGCAACTTGAGACTGTTTATCAGCAAAGACGGGACCACAGCCCTCAGCGGGACGCATCTCGCCAACAGGTATCATCTCACTCGCCGTATCTTTCTCTCGATGATCATCTTTCATAAAAACTCACCTGTTTCTGTTCTTTTCCCAGAGTAACTCCTGGCATCTTTGAGCCGGTGGTCATCGAGACTCACTGATACCCACGCTCCTCTCGCCTCATTGCCGTCTCTCTGACGTCCGATTGTCTCCGTGCGTGCAAACATGTGCACAAAACTTCATGTGTGATCACCGTGGTGCAGATGTTGAGCCTTCTAGTGTTTTTAATCAGGTGGCGGGACGGGTGTAACACACGGGTACAGTGTTTTCTCAGACAGTAGACTGATTTTAACCTGTTTTTAACCTCTAACAAAGGTCATCATTTCTAATTTTACTGGTTTTAAGCACTTTTAAAACTGCTCCAGCCTGCTTCTGTGTGTCGCGTTATGTTACAGCTCTTTTGGTTAGACTGTGCCCTCTGTTTTCAAGTAAAACTCTTCCTCGTGGAGTAGCCTGTCTTTTAGCGGCGGAAGCCTCTATTTTGCATTTTCTGCAGGAAGTGTTGATCAGGTTTAAATGTGATGTTGAAGAGCCTGATGAGTACCAGGGGGAAGCATGCACAGAAATCAGTAATTCATGCTCTCAAAGAAACTAGGTTAAGGGTCTAAATCTACAATTTAACCTGTAAACCCAGCAGTCAAACTGTAACAAAACTGGCAGTGAGGCAGATATAAAATAACTAAAAGCAGATCCAGAAAACAGCTTCCAAATGTCGAACGTAAAACATGAAATGAGATCCAAGCAACCCCAAAGAGATTTGAAATAAAACATAAAGAGGAATAAAATGACCATACTAAGCAAAAATTCAAAAATTTATAACAACGCTAAAGGGTCTGAAACTGCTTTAATCGGCTGCACAGTTACATAAAACAGCCTGAGAGACACAAAGACGTATCCTGATTCCTACGTCAGGCTTGTGCTCAGAGGCGCGTTTTCTCATAATCCGTCCATGAGTGCAGTGCAGCAGCAAGGGAGACCTAACATATACGAGGCCATGGAAAATCTCAAAGTGAGCCACTTACATTCAGACAGAATTCACCTGGTAAATATTAATCAGTGACGCTGACATTTGAGAAAACCTGTTTATGTTTTCTTCACTAAGCTGGGAGCATCAATTACTAATTTGTGTGTTCAGGTTAGTTTTTATTTTTCCCTTCTGTGACTTCAGGACTTTTTCAGTTTTTCACTCTGTTGTTCGGCTTTTCTTCTTTTCGCTACACTGGGTGTGTTTCAGACGAGTCCCCGAGGACGTCTATAAAAGTTGCTGACTCTGTCACATAATCAGTCACTGAACACTGGTACCAGTGAGAAGCACACCCAGTCAACCTCTGACCAGGGCTTCGTGCACACATTACTTGAACAACACCTTAGGAACCACTGCATTCTGGGAACTGTAGTGCGACACTGAAACAAGGGTGCTTCTGTCAGCTGGTTGGGACTTTAGAGTTTCTGAGAAAATACAGGACAGAAGATGTCAGACTGTGAAAGCTTCCCTTTAACCAGTGGACAGATTTATGGTTTAGTGTTAGGTTGTATTTTAGCCACATGCTAAATAGATATATTTTCAACTTTCAGATAAAGTGTCATACTTGCAAGGCCGTATTAGGGCTATTGGAGATGTGGAAAAAGTATGAGGCTGCGTGAGGTAAAATTCAGAGGTAAAAAGTGACAAATGTATGACACCAAACTGAAAAATTTACAGGACAAAAATGGCAAATTTGAGAAAGAAAAAGAAGGATAGATTAACAACAAACTGTCCACTTTACAAGAATTAATCTGGGAAATTTTGGAGAAAAAGCAGGCAAAAACTAGAGCAAGCTTGTCAAATGTAATAGGATAAACAGGGAAAAAATTAACAAACTTCTGACAGATTTAAAGAGAAACACGAATGGTGATCTTTAGTCAAGGATACATTTTGCTTCATTTTTCAAGGTTAAGTTTGAAAAATTCACCAAACTTAACCGTCAGTGCTTTTTTTTTTTGTCCCGTCAGTGCTTTCAATACGTCCCATTTCATTTCTGTGTGAGAAGAAATCGATGCTAACTTAGCCCTGGATAGATTTGGTAGAGTAAATTTGAAGGAAGACATGAACAACATGTAGGGGCAGTAAACAGGAGCTGAAGCATCACTTTCACCCCTGTTATGACGCTATCTCGTCAATATTTCTGCCTTTGGATTTGATGAGGACCCAAAAGTCCCAGAGAGACGCTCTTCGTTCAGGCTGAGCAAAAATCAGCCTGGAACTGAAACTAAAGCTTTTATCCTTTTATGTTATTTTAATGTTATTTGATCACTGTGTTTTTACTTATTTACACTGTTTTGCACATGTGAACTCTCCGAGGCGAATTAGAAACCACTAAAAGGAAACAGAGGTGGCACAGTTGTCCGAAACAACATGAAATCTTCTGTTTTTAAATATCTTATTTCATCTCTGTTGGCTTAATGCCCATAGAGCCTTTGTTCATATGGCTGGCCATATGTAACCATCCATCCTCTGCACTTACTAAGTACTTATTAACTTTTTAAATTCCAATGATCTCATAAACCTGTCATAAATGTGAGGTTTTGTGGGGGCTTTACTTCCTTTCTCAGCCACATTTTATTTCCAACGTTGGCCTTTCTCTGATATTAAGTACACACAAATAGGCTGAATCCAGAATGTGTGCATTTTAAGGCAGGAGATCTATATTGAGGGCCTGCTCTGCTCCACTGCTCCACACTTTTAATGGTACTAGCCCCTCAGTTCATCCACTCTCTAAGAGAAATAGTTTAAGCACCTGTCTCTTTATAAGAACCCTCTTGTTATAAGCCAACTTTCCAATGACTGGTCAGCTTCTGGAAGCCTGCAGAGGAGCAAATCAGGGTTTCTGAGCTGTATTGTCTATTTCATGCAAAACTGACATCAGCACATCATGAGAGCAGAATGTTTTTTGCTCACAGGAACTACTCTTATCAGTGTTTACCTCATTTTTGTAAAATATGTAACGTTATAATATTATATATTTAACAGAAAGTAAGAAATAAACCCTTTTTAACAACAAGTGACATCACAACAAGCTAAGAGATTGACGTTAGCAGGCAAAATGACTATAAGCACAATATTAGCATTGCCTATTTTTGCATCCATCCATTTAGGTGCTCATTCACCTTTGGAACCACAATCAATGTCGTTTTACTTGCTCATAGCCTGCCATCGTTCTGGCTCCACACTGACAAACAAAGCAGTGTTTTTACCAAAAAGATTAACTTCAGTCAGAACTCTGCATTTTGTAGCTTTGGGCAGTTTAGGTTTTGTGCATGTGCTGCAACAAGGAAAATAAAAATCCTTTTTCCTCATTGCTTTTGCAAGGCTTGTGCAGACTTAGCGTGTTGAGCTAGCAGTGATACTGTGGGCTGGTGTTGGCTGTAGTGAGGTCAGTCCCACAGCTGCAGCAGCACAAAGCCTCTGTTGTGCGAGTACTGACAGTATACAATAGATCTTCACCCCCCCACGGGACTCATTTGTGCATTTGTGATTATGTTCATGCTGCAAGATGTGCATGCGGGCCATGCATCTCTGACTGATATGAAAGGATGTACTGTATAATAGACAGTTTTTTTAAGCTTCTGGTGCATCAAGTCATGCAAAAGTATAAGTAAGTTGTAAGCAAGTACTGGATACTTGGGACATCTAGAGTTTTGTTAGGTTCACTACTCCTCAAAAGTTTAGGATTGCTTAGAAAAGTCCTTCTTTGCTGAAAATAAAGTGTTTTCTTTTTTATTTAATATAACATTAAATTCATGTTAACTATTTTAAATAAAATGTGATTAATGAAACTGTTAATTATAAATCCTCCGATATTGTGTTAACCATTGGAGGTTTATCATATTAAAAAGCCTGCTAATCATTATATAAAGTCGTTAGGCTCTGTATGTTATCCACAGCTTTCATAATTTGTAGAATATGGAAGCTTGTTTCTGCCACTGAAAGAATAAGTTCTTTTCTCAGATGTTTGAGCTAGGAACTTCGATTTTTTTAGATAATAACCTGAAATTTTCACTTAATCTGGCAAAAACTGTTTTTGTTTTTGTGTTTATTTTCAATAATGGGACAGGCAGAGCTACAGGCAGACATTTTCATGCAGCCATGCGTACTACTCCCTCCACAGAACACAGTAACTGGCTGTCACCAGAAAAGAAAGAGGTTCACAACTGACAAAGTCCATAAGGTGTTCAGATTGCAGCTTCATTAGACGGTAACCATAACAGTCAGACTGGGTTCATTAATGAAGGGAGTAGTACACACTGTTGCATTAGGTAACAGTCGGTCATAGATACATGTATGTATGATACATTAATTTTTTGAAGCACTTTTCTAAGTGATCCCCAACTTTAACCTGTACTATTTAATAATTATGCACCTACCTTTATCGCCATATTTTCCATTAACAGTCCATGTTTGTCATTGTTGTGTGTATGTATGTATGAAATGTGTGATGTGGTAACCATATAGTCTATTTTCCTTTTATTTCCAGACCAGCAGGCTGGTCTGCAGCACAGATCTGTGTGTAAAAGCTTATATTTTATGGTAAGATGTGACTAAACAGTAATTATTTACAGTGCAGCCTGGAGTTACTGGGGAAAGTGTGCAGTAAAGGGATCTGTCTGCTACTGTGATTTCTTCTAGAAATACTTACTCTTTCTTTGTACTTGACCATATGTAACCTTGTGATCTTATGAAGCAATTTCTGCGTGTGGTGAAATGTTTTTTATTATTATTATTATCATTTCTGATGATTTGAAATGAAATTGTTGGGGCCAGGGTTATGTTGCAGTGGTAGCTGTGGTACTGATTTAACAAGATGGGGTTTGGTAAAGGGAATATATACTTCACAAAACATTTTCCACCATATTTTAAAATGTATTTATATTAAAGGTAAAATCACTAAATGTGTAGAAATATAATAAATGCATATACAATATCTAATATAAGCATTAATGTTGGGTGAAAATAATTTTGTTGAATAAATTGGTGCATTTCTGGGTTTTTGAGAATAAAAAATCAGTTGTTTTTTTGTTTTCAAATGCTTTCTAACTCCGTGCACACATATTTTTACTCCTTGTGTTAAAATATTGGAAAATGTTCCAAGAATAACTACAATGTTAATAAATGTTAATAACTACATGTGAACGGAGGAGTTGTGATGAACATGAAAACCAAATAAACTGTCAAAGTCTGGATTTATCTTCTTTCTTTAACTGCCTCATCTCTTTGTTTGCACATGTCACATGATACTACACCTTAACACAAGTGTTATTATATACAGTCACGCCGGAAAAGTTTGTAAGTACATGCAATGAAAATATGGAGACAAACAAAAGTTGAAACGATGCCTTCAGGAGACGGTGGTATATTTGATCAAGAAGAGGGAAACCTGACTTTCTGATCATCATCAAAACTATTATCGTTTTAAGTGAAATTATTCTATAGAAAAGAATAACTACACCTCTGGTATCAGAAGTCACTTCTTCTTTAGTAGAAATTACTTTTTGGCGTTTTGCATGATTGTCCACCAGTCTCTGATGCTAACCTGCTAAAATCTTTCATCCACTTTTCAAAAAAAAAAAAAAGGAAAAATTATCTTTACTTAGATCTGTGCTTTGAATAAGGCCTTATTATCCAGGGTGCCACAAACTCACCGTACATATCAACCCTGCAGCCGGGGAGCTGTGGACCTGATTGGAGCTGATTGGACCTTCTTGATTTGCACTTGGACTCTCTTTTCTCACCTACTGACCTCCTTTTTTGCCATTCACTAGGTAGGTTTAGGCCCTGAGAATTGTTTGGTTTAGGCACGACAGCACCAAAGGACACCTTGTGCATACCTGAAACACGCAAGCAGCAATGCCAAAACGCTGTTATCTGATGCTCCAGGAATGAAAGGAATCTGGTTCTCATTCCTTTCTTTTTTTGAGTCCTCCTTTGGTGGATTTGTCGTACTAAGGATCATTGGTACTGTTGAAAAGTCCAGTTCTAATTCAACTTTGAACTTTCAGATGGATGGCCTCACATTATCCTGTGTCACTGTTTACAGAATTCACAGAGTGGTTCTTCCTCTTAAAAGCTGTCTTTGCTCTGCAATAAAACATGTCAGCTGTTACTGTGATGATCCATCAGGACATCAAAGGCCTGGTCTTGACTTCTAGATTTACTGTCAAACTCCAGATATGGAACAAGAAGGGGGAAAAAATCATCTTATAAAAAGCATCTCGAAGAAAATCAGGGGCACTTCAACTTAATGAAATATGTAAATGACCTGAAACCAAACAGCTTGAATTTTCTGAAGGACAATGAGAATTTCATTTGCCCCTTACTATTTTCCACTTCAGTGCAGGTATAAAATGATTATCTAATTATTCTGATTTTATTCACATTAAAATAAAGCAAAAAATGATTTTTATAATGTCTGTCAACAGTATTTTATGGTTTGTGGGGTGATTATAAAATATTTTTTACGATTCTGAATACAATGTGTCAACGTCAATTTTTTCCATTTGTTTTGTTTTTGTGTTTATTTGCCTCAAACATGCGTGTGATGCTGTGATCTATGAAGCTGCAGTAGCAGGTAAACCACGAAGGGGCTTTACAAGGACATGGTCAAGATCATCCAACAAAAAATATTTTTCATGCTGGGAAAAAGACAAAAGAGAATTGAAGAACCTTGGGTTGACAGGAAGCAGCTGAATTTAACCTGGACAAGATCAACATAAGTCAAACAGTTGCCTACAATACCACCTTGGATACTCCCTGATCCAGTAGTATGTTTCACACTATTAAACAAAAAGAATAAGGATAGGGGTTTTATCCTTATTCTATATTATTTGCATACAGTGCAAGAATATATTACTCAGCATTACAGTTCTGTCAGAATCTACACAGATCGGTTATATCTCGACTTAGATTCGGACACACTGGTTTGAATAGCACCTTGCTTTTATTAATAGGGAACACTGCACAGGGGAGTGTGACTGCAGTAGAGAACATGTTTTATTGGATTGTTAGAAATTTGATGCTGAAAGAAGACAACTGATGAAAAAGCTTGACGATATAAAAGTGAAACTGGACTTGTTTGATTTATTTCGCAAGAACTGTAAAAGTGAAAGTTATCAAGCCATATTTTGGTCTTTAAGGAAGACTCATTTGTTTCGGAGAATTTGAATGTTTTTATTTTGGGGGGTCATTTCGGTCCACACTCCATACCAGTTGGTGACGGTAGTGCGGTACTGCTGTAAGAAGAACCACGAGAGGGCATCAGAGACCATTAGATGAATTGTATCAACCGGATTACTGAACAGGAAGAAGAGCACCAGGATACGTCAGCAAATAACAACATTACCTGTGTGTGGGTGAGAAATGGTAAGAAAGCTGCTGTGATTACTTTTAAACAGCTGATAAACGAGCAGAGACAAATTAATACTTTAATGAAATTTTATCAGTTTAAGCGTAATTAGCTTCAGAGCTAATCTTTGCTGTTTGGCTGTGACATTTGTTTCTTTTAGCTTCATGCTAGCAGTCAGCTTCATGGTTGGGGATTATAAGTTAACCGACCTGGTAACATTTTTCAGCGCCGAATTTACTGGCAGTGTTTTTTAATTCGTATGTTGCATGTTTATGAAGTTAGGAGATCAAATATCTTTGATAATTATCAAATTGACTAAAACGGTGAAGGTTTGAATGAAGTTTGGTGCGGCTGCGCAGTGCCGTTGCAGCTTAAAGGGGATTCCCAAGATTGTCTCCTTTTAATGCATCTTATTGTGGAAATGGGGGAACACCTGGTGGCTGCAGATGCTTCTGTTGGTTTAGTTGTCAGAGTCGCCGTGCTGCGGTGCAGGCAGCGTTGTAGCTCGAGCTGTTAGTTTAATTGGCAGGTGCTGATGGAGTTAGTGTGATGATGCAAAATGCATACACGCGTCAATATTATCCTAAGACAACAATTAAGTTATTTAAATTTAAACAAATAAATAAACCATGAAGTCTTCCGTCTGGTCTCCTAGCTCTGTCTTTCTTTCTAAACACCCTCGAGTTTACCTGCGTAGACCCTGTTTAGCGCCTGCTGATTCAGGAAACACGCCCCCGTTATCTGGTGAAAGTCACAGTTTAACGTGGGCAATACAACGTGACGTCATCACAATATTGTGCACAAAATAAGTAAATGTAGTTTGTTTTTTCAGCGCAGAGCTGCTGGAACTTCTTCCCCCTCAGAGTGACCGATCTGGATGACAGGTGACAAACAGGATTTAAACGGATGGAGCGATGGACCACTTTATAAGCAAACCTGTTGCTTTAATAAGAATTTGGGCTGTTTGGATATGGAATAAATAGAATTAATGACCCACACTGTTTGGATTAGTACCCGTGTACGTCAGTAATATAGCTGCTACTGATCTGCTGAAACGATTAAAAATCATTGTGGTGGAATTAAGGCTCGGCGGGACCACATATCGCACTTATGAGCCGTTTATTTAGATCACACCACAACGCACACCAACCCCTGAGTCCCCGTGTTTTAACTCGGCGGGCGTGATTAAGGATGCAGTGCAGGTGCGTCCGCCCTCCCTGCACGGCACCGCAGACCACGCCCCACCACAGTCATCCTCTCAAGTATCTTCAGAAAACTCACCGAACTCACAGCTGAATTATAAAGCACTTAGCAGCTTATCAGTCAGGTTAGAAACAGGACGTAGGTTTAAGTGTGTGTTTTTGATCTGGTGCTCAGCATCCATCGGTCCTCCTTTAAATCACGTTTGTCATCTTTAACCCAGATTAGTCACTCAGAGGGGAAAGTGGAGGTCAGCTGAGCTGATCGGTGGTGTCCTGAGAAAATGTCAGCTGTTATTTATGTTAAAGAAAGACAGGGGTAGGAGACCAGGCAGAAGACTTTATGATTTATTTATTTTTTTATCCAAACAATTTATTTGTTGTCTGAAGATAATTTTGATGTGTGTATTCATTTGCACAAGCTGCAGCTGGAGACTTTTTTTTCCCAAGGTCTTTAATCTTGTCAAGCTGCAGATACACTGACAGACAGAGGATCCAACATCTGGAACACGGAGAGTAGAACATGTAAACAAATCTAACCAGTTAACCTGGAGCACTGGGGTTAGTTGCAGGTATAGTTGCAATGGTGAATTTAGATGATGAGTTGGTTTAGAGGTTGATTTAGTTGCAGATGAATGATGAAGTTGAAGTTGCTGTAGTGTCAGTGGTTGTTTTAGCTGCAAAGGTTGTCATGTTTAGTTGCAATTGACCTTGTAGATGGAGCCGTTGTTTTCGTGACCTCGTACTGGAGATCTTTTGATTCGAGATCTATTGAATCAACGTCTTGTGGAGTTTTCATTTATTTGTTGATTGTTGCTCGTTATTTTGACTACATGACTTCCTTTGAAATGCGGGTTTATAAAAGTGCCTGTAAATAAAGATAACTATTTATATTGATCCAAAAAATTTTTCTAGTAAAAGTTTACCTGCAATTTCTGTTGTTATTTACTCTTGTTGCTGTTTGACATTTATTTTAAAAAGGTAGAATCACAGTTTATTGGTCAGGATGTGATGTAAAGTCTTAATGAGTATTTTTAAATTTGGCCAAAACTGACAATTACAAAGCTAATGTTTGCCAGGGGAGGATGGTGCCATGAAGTGTGCTCAATATCCAAGTAACAACAAAATTAGGATCTCCTTTCCAGTTGCTTTATGGGAAATTTAGTGTCTCACCTCTGACGACAACCTGACGTCTGGCTTTAAACTTTTAACCACATTCACATTAGTCTGCATAAAGCTTCAAACGACCATCAGTGCCATGCTTAACACCGACGTCCTCGTGCTCAGTTTTTCTGTGGATATGTTTTCAGGCTACTGGAGTGGATCAAGCAGCTGGCATGAGTCTTGTTGTCTTCAGCCTCGTGCTGTTCACGTACTACTCTGTCTGGGTCATCATCCTGGTAAGTTCTCTTCAGTTCACTGAAATCACATCAGTCACATGGACATACAGGGAGTGCAGAATTATTAGGCAAATGAGTATTTTGTCCACATCATCCTCTTCATGCATGTTGTCTTACTCCAAGCTGTATAGGCTCGAAAGCCTACTACCAATTAAGCATATTAGGTGATGTGCATCTCTGTAATGAGAAGGGGTGTGGTCTAATGACATCGACACCCTATATCAGGTGTGCATAATTATTAGGCAACGTCCTTTCCTTTGGCAAAATGGGTCAAAAGAAGGACTTGACAGGCTCAGAAATAGTGAGATATCTTGCAGAGGGATGCAGCAGTCTCAAAATTGCAAAGCTTCTGAAGCGTGATCATCGAACAATCAAGCGTTTCATTCAAAATAGTCAACAGGGTCGCAAGAAGCGTGTGGAAAAACCAAGGCGCAAAATAACTGCCCATGAACTGAGAAAAGTCAAGCGTGCAGCTGCCAAGATGCCACTTGCCACCAGTTTGGCCATATTTCAGAGCTGCAACATCACTGGAGTGCCCAAAAGCACAAGGTGTGCAATACTCAGAGACATGCAGGACAATGCTCCATCACACACGTCCAAGTACTCCACAGCGTGGCTGGCAAGAAAGGGTATAAAAGAAGAAAAACTAATGACATGGCCTCCTTGTTCACCTGATCTGAACCCCATTGAGAACCTGTGGTCCATCATCAAATGTGAGATTTACAAGGAGGGAAAACAGTACACCTCTCTGAACAGTGTCTGGGAGGCTGTGGTTGCTGCTGCACGCAATGTTGATGGTGAACAGATCAAAACACTGACAGAATCCATGGATGGCAGGCTTTTGAGTGTCCTTGCAAAGAAAGGTGGCTATATTGGTCGCTGATTTGTTTTTGTTTTGTTTTTGAATGTCAGAAATGTATATTTGTGAATGTGGAGATGTTATATTGGTTTCACTGGTAAAAATAAATAATTGAAATGGGTATTTATTTGTTTTTTGTTAAGTTGCCTAATAATTATGCACAGTAATAGTCACCTGCACACACAGATATCCCCCTAAAATAGCTAAAACTAAAAACAAACTAAAAACTACTTCCAAAAACATTCAGCTTTGATATTAATGAGTTTTTTGGGTTCATTGAGAACATGGTTGTTGTTCAATAATAAAATTATTCCTCAAAAATACAACTTGCCTAATAATTCTGCACTCCCTGTATGGAAGCTGGTGTTTTTTGGGGGGGGGTTAAATTGTTGTTTTAACTGTGATTGATGTTAACTAGCCTGTGGCACAACAAAGCATATTACCGAGCTGGCGCTACATAAACTACACCGGCACATGCTACAAGTCAAGCACCCAGCTCATGTAACTGATTATGTCACCCCAGTCTTTTTTTTATTTATTAGAGACTTCCGTGTATTCTTTGAATTAATTTAGTCCAGGTTCCAGCCAAAAGCTTTTATTTGGTGAGTTCGTTGGTTTGTGCATTGTGGAAGCTGTGAGATACAGTCTGTTAGAACAATCTCATTGTAGAGTTTATGTAATGTCCTGACTTTGCCATGTTCCTCTCACCATCCTTTTCTTTGTTTAACATGGCTCCAGCCCAGATGTAGTATAAAGGTCACCAGAGGAAACAGGAGAGACTGAAAAAGAACTTCGAATAACAAGCACATTAAACTAAAGTACACCAGTCTGTTACCTTTGATAGCATTGTGATTCACTTCCATCCTATTCCACCTTCCCCTTTTTTTTTGATTTGCTTTTTCCATTCACATAAAAATAAATACTGAACTAGATCTCCGTCTTGAGGGAATGGAGGAAAAAAAATCCTGTCCAGAAACTAACCAGTAGCTTTGTATCTGCCTTTTAGTGCACCATTCCTCGTGTTGCTTTTTGTAGTCTAGGTGTGGAACTGGGTCATGTGACTCGCAGACAGTAATTTTGACACCACACATTAACATGGTTGTTTTGGTCGTTTTTCCAGCCTTTCGTGGACAGCGATCACTTCCTGCACAAGTATTTTCTTCCTCGGGAGTACTCAGTCATTCTGCCTGGAATCGCAGCAGTAATACTGCTCATCTGTATAGGTCAGTCCACCATGAGAACTGCAGGCCAAGTTATCTGCTTATCTAATTCAATGAACACTAATGCCTGTTATCCTCTCTGCAGGAGCCTTCACCGTTGTCATCATGTGGAAGAATCGCAAGCCAAAAAAAGCGGACTAATGTTGTAAAACATCAGCTTCTTGCACCTTACAACTAAAATCCAGCCCTATTTTGTAATAAATACTCCTCATCGTCACTTTTACAAGTATTTTTGTTCAGAGGAAAGTTTGCCGGTCTTAATTCTGCATTTTAAGAAATCAGCTTTGGTGGCCCCAAGTGGCATCATTGAATGCACTTCTCTTAAGACCATTTGGAAGTTTCTCGACATTTTTAAGGTATTGCTGCGTGGACAAATGAGACAAGAAATTATGTTTGGAGGGAAAAAGGCACCAAAACCGCATCATGACTGTGAAGCAAGTTGGAGGGTGGAGCCACCTTGAGGTCCTGGACACCTTTACACTCAGTGAGAGATCAATGATTATAAAACGTTACAAAGACATTTTCAAGTGAACATCAAAGCAGGAGTTCATGAGCAAAAGCTTTTGAGAGGTGGGGTGATGCAACCCAGCAATAACGCAAAGACGCCAATGAATAAAGTCCAGGGATGTTGTGGTAGGACCTGAAAGGGGCTGTTTGATAGTAGGAATTGTTCAGAAATCCTCTTCATCATTGTGCAAGTCTCATACGAAGTTACAGGAAATGCCAAAGTCCTTATAGAAGCAATTCTGACCCCTCAGCAGCTCCCCCGAAACACCTTCGAGCACTTACTTGGGCAAAAATTGAAATAAAGTTAAAAAAGACGACCCTCTAATCTGTTCATTTGTATTTCTGTGCACAGTTTTCCATTGTTTGTCGTCATGTTCCTGAACACAGTTTTTCATCTGTCTACTAGTATATGTATTTGTACATACAAAATTATTATTTTCACTTAAAAGTTGGAAAAGTCTGCATGTGGAGGCTGGAGCAGTAGGTGGTGGAGCTGCTCACACACACTCAAGTTTGAGTCCCACATGTCACAGATTTTACAATGAATTTTAAATATTTGAATGATTTAAATGCATTAATTATCATTTGAAACCACTTGGTTTCAGTTAGAAAAAAGGTCACCGCGTCCATTTCTTTGAGGTTAATTTACATTTGCCACGAGACCGTGCTGCTCTGTCGTAATGAGAAACGAGATGGAGGATGTTGCTAAACAAGCAGTTATTGTGTTTAATAAAAATGTGAACAACACAGCTGTTTTTTTTTTTCTGTTGTGTGATCAGTTTTGTCAGGTTGTGTTTGTTTACAGTTCTGGCTCAGATTGAAATCAAGGCACATTTTATGCAGAAATCCTGATAATCTCACAGACTGCTTAGAAAGTATGGACGTAGCCAGCAGGACCCCCTGGTGTGTTAAGCTCCGCCCTGAAACCTCATGCTGAATGTTTTCACATGTCAGATATATCAGATGTAACGGGACACACGCCTTCCAAAAAGTTCAGCTTTTGTTTCGTCAGTCTAAAGATTATTTGCCCAGAAGTCTTGGGGATCATCAAGATGCTTTTTGGCAAACTTGAGATGAGCCTTTGATCTTTTTGGTCAGCAGTGATTTTCTTGAACCCAGTTTTGCATTGTTGAATCATGAACTCTGATCTTACTGAGACACGTGAAGCCTGCAGTTCTTTAATGTTGTTTTAAGTTCTTTAGTGACCTTCTGGATGGGTTGTTGATGTGCTCTTGGAGTAATTTCAGTCGGTTAGTCATTTCTGGGAAGCTTCCCCTATTCCCAGGAATGTCTTTGTAACCCTTTACAGACTGATACAGTGGGGCAAAAAAGTATTTAGTCAGCCACCGATTGTGCAAGTTCCCCCACTTAAAATGATGACAGAGGTCAGTAATTTGCACCAGAGGTACACTTCAACTGTGAGAGACAGAATGTGAAAAAAAAATCCATGAATTCACATGGTAGGATTTGTAAAGAATTTATTCGTAAATCAGGGTGGAAAATAAGTATTTGGTCACCTCAAACAAGGAAAATCTCTGGCTCTCACAGACCTGTAACGTCTTCTGTAAGAAGCTTTTCTGTCCCCCACTCGTTCCCTGTATGAATGGCACCTGTTTGAACTCATCATCTGTATAAAAGACACCTGTCCACAGCCTCAAACAGTCAGACTCCAAACTCCGCCATGGCCAAGACCAAAGAGCTTTCAAAGGACACCAGGAAAAGTATTGTAGACCTGCACCAGACTGGGAAGAGTGAATCTACAATAGGCAAGCAGCTTGGTGTGAAAAAATCAAGTGTGGGAGCAATCATCAGAAAATGGAAGACATACAAGACCACTGATAATCTCCCTCGATCTGGGGCTCCACGCAAGATCTCATCCCGTGGGGTCAAAATGATCATGAGAACGGTGAGCAAAGATCCCAGAACCACACGGGGGGACCTGGTGAATGACCTGCAGAGAGCTGGGACCAAAGTAACAAAGGTCACCATCAGTAACACACTACAACGGCAGGGAATCAAATCCCGCAGTGCCAGACGTGTTCCGCTGCTGAAGCCAGTGCATGTCCAGGCCCGTCTGAAGTTTGCCAGAGAGCACATGGATGATACAGCAGAGGATTGGGAGAATGTCATGTGGTCAGATGAAACCAAAGTAGAACTTTTTGGTATAAACTCAACTCGTCGTGTTTGGAGGAAGAAGAATACTGAGTTGCATCCCAAGAACACCATACCTACTGTGAAGCATGGGGGTGGAAACATCATGCTATGGGGCTGTTTTTCTGCCAAGGGGACAGGACGACTGATCCGTGTTAAGGACAGAATGAATGGGGCCATGTATCGTGAGATTTTGAGCCAAAACCTCCTTCCATCAGTGAGAACTTTGACGATGAAACGAGGCTGGGTCTTCCAACATGACAATGATCCAAAACACACCGCCCGGGCAACAAAGGAGTGGCTCCGTAAGAAGCATTTGAAAGTCCTGGAGTGGCCTAGCCAGTCTCCAGACCTCAACCCCATAGAAAATCTGTGGCGGGAGTTGAAAGTCCGTGTTGCTCGGCGACAGCCCCAAAACATCACTGCTCTCGAGAAGATCTGCATGGAGGAATGGGCCAAAATACCAGCTACTGTGTGTGCAAACCTGGTAAAGACCTATAGTAAACGTTTGACCTCTGTTATTGCCAACAAAGGTTATGTTACAAAGTATTGAGTTGTATTTTTGTTATTGACCAAATATTTATTTTCCACCCTGATTTATGAATAAATTCTTTACAAATCCTACCATGTGGATTCATGGATTTGTTTTTCACATTCTGTCTCTCACAGTTGAAGTGTACCTCTGGTGCAAATTACTGACCTCTGTCATCATTTTAGGTGGGGGAACTTGCACAATCGGTGGCTGACTAAATACTTTTTTGCCCCACTGTAGATGTCAGTTGCCTTGTTTCCCATTTGATTCTTCTAGCCTGCTTCACTTTGTCACACAGGATCTATTTACATGATTTCTTGATTCAGCAGGTCTGCGAGTAACCAGGCCTGAGTGTGTTCAGTAAAACTGAACTCGACTTTCCAAAAAATGTGATTAATAACAGTTAATTCATGATTCAACAAGAGGAGCACTTACTTTTTCACAGAGAACCACGTAGGTTTGGATACATCTTCTTGGTTAATCAATGAAATCATCATTTAAAAACTGCATGTTCTATTTACTTGTATAATATTAAAATTCGGATAATGACCTGAAACATGTATGTGTGACAAATATGCAAAACACTAGGAAATCAGGAAAGGGACTAAACACTTTCTCCCACTACTGTAGTTGGAGGGTCAAAAGCACAAAAAACTTCCTTGCAACTGCAAAGGAAGTTTTTTTTTTTTTTTTTTGCTGAAGGCAGCATTGCGGTTTGGATTGGGTCGAAGCAGCGTGGTGAAAATTCCCAAGCTGATGCTACCTACGTGCCGCTCTTATCCATCAGCACCACATCTTACAGGTTTAAGACCTGCTCGTTCAACAATATGTAACCGCCATGCTTTTGCTACCATTCATTTGTTTTGCTCTTCCCACTATCTTTTTCTTTGTTTACTTCCTGTGTTGCTGTACAGTTTTACCCGTGATGACGTGTCATTAGGGATCCATCACCTTTATTTAAAGGGCAACAATACATTTGGTAAATTGCGCAAACCAAACACAGTGGGCACTGTTTCATAATCATTTTAAACATCTTACAAACACAGTCAAGACTCTTTGGAGCTGATTTCAAACTTAAGACTTGATTTTTATCTTTTATTGTGTTGCACTCCTCTCTTCTCCAAATCACATTAACTCTACTGGAAAAGATAACATGGTTTTAACCCAACGAGTATAAAAGTCACCAGAGGAAACAGGAAGGACTACATATCAGCGTATTTAAATCGAAATACCAGCTTGCTGTGTTTGTTAGTGTTGTGATTCACTCCATCCTGTTCCACTGAACATTGTTTTAATGTCCTTTTCCCATTAACATGAAAAAATACTGAAGACTTCTCTCATGAAAGGATGTTTAAAAAATTTCTTTTTAGAATCTGAGAAATTTTTAGCCTTAGAGGAAATTCAGATGTATCCGCTCGTTTGTTCTGCAGTCCTCGTGTTATTTTTGTAGTATTAGGCATCACACGTGAAATCCTGAGTCACAGGAAATCCACTCTTCTAACACCACATACAAAGTTGCTTATTTTGGTCCTTTGATAGCCTTTTATTTCCTCCCTTGGAATTTGCTCATCCACATGTGGCAGAGCACAAACAAATACACATTTTGATATAAGACCAGACTGCCAGAATTTCAGGATATGTTATAGTTTGGTCAGATTGTGTTTGCAGATAACTGATTTCGATTAAAGATTTTTTGACGATGCAGAAATCCTGACAAAACAGACTGTTTAGAAAGAATGGGCCTAACCACCTTGACCCACCTGTGTGTGAAGAGCGGTCCTGAAGCCTCATGCTGAAATATCTGGCCATTTCACTTGACTGAGGTACTAAAAGAATTTGCATCTTAACAGACCCGCTAATGGTCTTTCCAGAAATCTGGTCATCTTTCACTTTTCAGAAAGAATGCAAGTTTATGAGACTTCGGGTTGAGCTGTCACACCTGGGGGCGGCCTCAGTAACTGAAAACTGAATCCAAGGCCAAAGTCCAAAATCTGAAGTTCCTTTGATATCAGAAGTGAGTCAGGCTC